ATTTTGGAAATCCGGAAAGTTAGGGGCGAGAATATTGGAAATTTTGGAATTGAGTTTGTGAGGGCTGATCGCCACCCATCCGATGACACACCATGCACATCTACTCAGTTGAGAGGGCATGGTCTGTCAACGGGGGGGGGGCGACCATATATATATATATATATCTATGTATATATTCACGCACATGCAATAATCAATCCATGTATGCATGACGATATATGCACATACATACATACATACATACATACGTACGTACGTACGTACGTACATACATACAGGCATACATGCCTGAACACATCATACATACATCATCCCTAAACATTTACACCTACTTATCTATGTCGATGTATATGCATACATACATATATATATATATATATAATATATATATAATATATATAATATAATTATATATATATATATGTATATGTATGTGCACGTGACACGTCGTCGCTCTCCACACAACATCATCTCACGTGGTCATGTCTGCATGCGCAGACAACGACTAAGAGCGAATCCAAGGATCGGAACGAGGAGCTGGAGCACGACCTTGCCAAAGCTCGCGAGGCCTGCAAGCAGCGACGGCAGGTCGAGAGTTGTTGCTTGGTGCGTGCACATGAAAAGATGGGTGTATCGGCAGAGAGGGCCTTCTTTTTCAGCGCCCTCAGCCTTCGGTCAGTCCTTGAACACGTGTCAAAACAGGAGCTCCAGCGAGCACCTCGTCAGGCGCCCACCAGCGCTGGCTGCGGTCTCAGATTTCTGAGCTGCGTGAACGGGAGTGTGATGGACCAATGAATTCGGTTTCCAGGCACTCAGCCCTCGGGTGGCTTAGACCAAACTTCACAAGATCAATACGAGGAGCTGACGGGGCGCGTGAAATTGCGAGAGTTTTTGAAGCATAGCAGCATAGCGTGTTTTAGCAGAAGCCCCCGAACACCGCAGGCTCCGATTCCCATGTTTTGGGAGCCGATTTCTTCTTGCATTGTTCGCAAACAAGAGCTACGCGCCAGCCTTGACCCCAAACCATAGGGTTCCTTGAGCATGTTTGGCAGGAGCGGCTCCGGCATTTCAAGGCGGACGCCCTGGAGAAGGTGAGCATGAAGCGGCAGATTGCAGCTTTACTCGGTTGAGCGCATCCCGAAGTATAAGGGACCTTGCATACCGACCGTAAGACGGGGCAATCCAGACTAGGAGGCATTCAAGCTGTCTTGCGCTCTCCCCAATCCAACAGCTATATACACGCTCTACACGGCTTGAAGGCTCTACGCCAGAATGTCTCTGTGTGCACTTTTGGCAGGACCAGCGCGTGCTGGATGCCGAGAAGAAGCTGGAGCAGCTGGCGAGGAGCCTCGGAGCGGAGGCCGCCGAATCTGCCGAGCAGCTGCAGCAGCCGCAGCACGTCGACCGGTGCTAGGGCTGCTAGGGAGAAACTGACGAAGCAGGGGTTGAAATCTTTTCAGGACCTCCAACATCCTCCAACACTCTCCACTGTTTTCTAGTTATGGTCTTCATGGTGCCAGGGCGTCGTTGCGGAGAACCGGGAGCTCTCCCGGCAGAATGCAGACATGAAGCGCCAGGTTGGAAGAGCGAGCCAGTGAATTGCTGTGCAGGGTTCATAACCTATCGCCTATCATAACCTGGGCGCTTTTGCTGACAAGCCGCGCTTTGAATTTGAGGGGCGGCAACAGAATGGGAGAAGGACTGCGCACTCCCCGGCAGCTGTGGGGGTTTGCATGCTTGACAGGTTGGCGAGGCCAAGCGAGACCTTGCCAACTACCTCTCGGAGGCCTCGTCTTGTCTTGTTTCCCGTGTTTGGTCCAAGGCTTCAGGAGGAATGCCCATGTGGGAGGTCGCTAGATGGAGGGACAGACAGGGCGGCTAGGTGTTGTCGAAGATAGATCAAGATGATTGTGGACGTCCAGTGCTCCGGATAGGGGCTTGGGCAACTTGAGAGTAGTTCTGCCGTTCACACCTGTGCAGAGTCCCGGCAGTCTCGGCAAGGCAGCCAACATTGTTTACGAGAACGACCTTCTACGCAGCATTGCCAATGTGCGCTTTGGTCAGCATGGTGAAGCCCAAACACAGCCCGACGTGCACCTCTTTGTCTTTGACACTGTGTTTCCCACACATGGTAGTCCTCTGCGTCCTATGTGGTCACGAAGCCAGGAAATCTTGGGACAGTCCAGAGCGAAACAAGCAGCAGAGAGGGTCCTCAAATTCACATTGCGAAAAAAGATGCTCCCTTGTCAGTGGCCTTCTGAGGAAGCCAGAGCAGCTCAAGTTGAAGGACTTCAAGCTGAAGGACCGACCTTGAAGCAGGCATTGGTTGGAGATTTATGGACCACATGATCGGCGCAGCAGGCGGAGGGTTTTCAATTGGACCGTCGCACACGATTGAGGACAAAGTCACCTCAGCCAAGGCAGTGGCTGCCGCATCTTGCCTAAGAAAGGAACCCACAACACAGTTCTGAACATCATCCGTCAGCATGTCGAAGGTGCAGGATGCAGGCTGAATCTACGAACTTCCTAAAGACAGTTGGGACCTGCACTGAGCAGTTTCATCGATTCAGACTCTTAGGCGAAACAGATGGAGAAGGAGGTGGCAGAGCTGGAAGCCGAACGTGGCAAGCTGAAGGCCTGGAGTTACAGACGGTGAATACGGAGCCTTCTTGCGAACCAGAGATGGGGAAGGAGCTCGAGCATTGGACCTGACCTAAATTGTCCAGTGTGAGCCTGGTTCGAGGTCCAAGCTCTTTACAAACTCCAGTTTAGCTGTCCAGACCTGTGTACATGTTGCAAAGCCGACAAACATCGAAGCCTGGAAGCAATTTACCGCGCTCCTTGGCACTGTCGTAGGCACTGAAGCTTCTTCGCTAAGAACAGACTCTTCATCAGGCTCGGCTGCGGCAGCTGTCCGAGCTCGCAGCAGAGCCCCTCGTCTGAAGAGAGCAGAGAGAAGAGTATAGAAGAGTAATTCAGCCGTCGATCATTAATGCTTCAGGCTTCGGCTGTCTTGCTTGAGACCTGAGTTGGCAGCTGCATCCGAAGATAAGTCTGAGCAGGAAGGTTTCTTTGCTCCACAACCTGCAGCCGGAGCAAATGCTGCAGTTGGAGGACGGGATTCTCAGTTGCGAGGGTCGAGAGAGGCGTCATTTTGACACCCTTTCCCGTCCAGGAGATCGCAGCTCGGATGCGAAAGGGAAAGCTGGAGTTGCCCTTGGACGACGCTCAGTCGCATCTGTGTAAACCTGGCGTCAGAACTTCGGTTCGTCCTCTCCTTCCTCTCCGCAACCGCACTTCCCTTTTCACTGCAGGATCAGAGCCGACAACTCAAAGAGGCCCTGGGCGGGTGTTTGGTGGAGCCTCCACATGAGACGCCCTCTTGCGTTGGAACAGGAGAGGGACGAGCTCTCAAAGCGGCTCGCTGCGAAGGACCGGGAGGTGGCGGAACATGTGGACAGGCCCGGCCCCTCTTCTCAAAGCAGCCGCGCTCTTGCCATGTTGTTGTTTGGGCCAGGAAAGTGGAGGAGGTCCTGAAGAAGCAAGGCGCCACCAAGGACCAAACACTCCGACTCAGCTGAAATCTGTCTTGCGGGATTTGGAGCTCAGGGCAAATGCCGTGTATGCTGCCAGGACCTTGAGGCAAAGGTGGCAGCTCTGGAGAAGGAGCTCGGGGTGACATTCGGCGATGGGGCCATGAAGCTTGCATATTATGATCTGTTCCTGGTGCATCGGTCCAAGCTCAGGACAATGAGATGCTCCAGTCATCGCTGGAGGTGCCAGCGAACTAAGGCATTTAAGGTTGGCAAGCACAATCAGCGCGATTTCAATCAACATGACCAGCGCCATCGCCACCAGCAGTCCAGCCAAGTTTCCAGCACTGCAACCCTGTTGCGAGGCCTACAAGGCAGGATACGCCGAGCTAGTCATGCAGCAGGACAGTGCCGGCAGTGCCGTCTGTGAACTTGGGTTGGCCTGCATCCCAAACGTCCCGAAATATCCCGCACATTTAGAACCTTGACGCTGGACAGAATCCGTGCCAGAAGCTTGAGCCGAGCACTCCTGGAATGTCGAGAGGTTGGTTTGGCGGTTTGCCCCGTGTCTACTAACATTCGCATCATCGCAGGTTGAAGGTCAAGGTCGAGAGGTGTCATGGAGTTCGTGAAGTTCGTTGATAGAAGGAGCCTTTCGTTTGCTCTCTTGCAGGGCCCGCAAGCTCTGGAGCAGCTGGTCGGAAGGCCTCCAGCGCCGAGCGAGCGTTCCTGTTGTGTTTCTCTCCGATTCTCTCCTTCGATTCGCAAATCAATGCGGTGGTGGACAGTGCATGACAGCGCACGCACGGTAACTCCATTGAAGCACAGCAGCTGGGCAAGCACAGCCAAGACAGACTCTGTTGCGTTGCAACGTGGTGCCGGTAGGTCCATTTGTTCCCGGTTGCTTTGCTCTATTCCTCCGATGCTGCGCCAGGCTGCCTGGTTCCGTGCCGCTCCCCCCAGGCCGTTGGCTGACGCCACGACACGCACACAATGGCTGCTGTCTGCAGGCGCCATGGCGCGGTCTCTGCGGCCACTGCCCCCAGGAGTCACCCCGCCTCCGCCTGGTCCGGCTGGCGGCCGAGGCGTGGACGCGTTCCATTCCCGACGCAAACGAAGCCTTCTGCCATGGGCCTATCGGCCCAACGGCCCGGCCAGGTCTCGGAGCACCGGCAGTTGGGGCCCTGGGCCCTTCCCTGCCCAAACTTGGGAAGAGCGAGGCGTCAGTTCCGTGGCCTGACAGCGAGGTCCTGCCGAAGATGCCAGGGATGCAGCCGATGGTGTGGTCATCTCTGCTGCAGGCGAGGTCAGCATCTGTGAAATAAATAGTGCAGGCCCTGCCATCAACTCCTGGTCACCTCAGACTCCAGAGTTCTGGGGTGATTTGCACTGCTGAGCTTTGTCTCCGACTCTGCAAGGCTGTACTTCAGTTGCCCATAGCTCAGGGACGAATTCTGAGACTGAGCAGAGCACCATGTGACCTTGTATCCTCCAAGGCCTGGGGAGCTGTCAGACGGCTCACAGGAGACTGCCCACGCCTGAGATTGATAAATGCCAGGATTTGAAGTGTCTTTGTTTGCTGTGTTCGCTGCAGATTCTAAGCACTTAAGTTGAGTGCGAAGCATCCTTTCGAAAAAGGAGCACTTTCTACTCAGCCAGTGTCTGCAACTAACAGTTCGACTTTTGTCCCAGTCGCCTCAGGTCTGTTCGCTCTACTGCCAAGTGGTGGAAGCTTTGGAGGACGGGGATCCTCGATTTCTACTGTTCTCTGAGATTCTCCGAGCATCTGTGCCTGAGAGGAGCTCTCCCGCGAGCGCTCTCTGCGCGAGGGTCTCGCGGAGGAGGTCTCCTCTTTTCAGCAAAGGCACACCACGGCAATATCTCGCAATGAGGGGGTCTGGTGGAAGTGATCGAAGGTTTTCGAGGTTGGGGCCTCTTGATCCGATGCAGCACGTTCGCGGACCCAAAAGCCTACTTTTGCAACGTTGGCAACAGGTGACCTTGTGAGGCATGAGCAGCTGGATGTTGCCCGTAGCACCGACCACTGATTGTGTTTCGGAATTCAATGCATTGATTGGGGTCGGTATTGATTGTCAGACTCTGCACAAAGCCCCAGTCCCAGTCTCTGCAGAAACCTTGAGTGAAGCTTACGAACATGACTGCTCCGGATGTTGCTTTGCAGGTTTGATCGTCTCCTCGCAGAGCAAGAAGTGCTGTACAAGGCAGCAACACCCACTCCCCTGCTGCCCTGTCACGTGAGCCACATCAGGACTACTTTGCACAGCGGGAGGAGTGGCTGGTGACTGGGCAGAGTGACAGGAAATTTGGAATTTCTGAAGCCTTTGAATGTTGGAGTCTGTTGTAGAGATTGAGGCACTCCAGTCTGTATATCTCGTGGTCGCATCACCACCTAATGCATTAACGCAGAGCAACCCTCGAAAGGAGCCTGTGCTGCCAACTCGGACGAAAGGAATGCCGAGCAAAGATGAGACTGAAACCGAGTAATTGGGCCGGGCGTTCGGGTGCCAGCTCGGAAGGCGACGACCCGGAGCCTCGAGGAGCGCCTTTGGGCAGCAAAGATTTGCGTTCGCCAGCAAGGGAACTTGGCCGCCCCTTTCTTCCAATCATGTTTCGTGGCCACGCTACTGGCAGCAGCCTTGCGTAATAGATTTTAGGTTTGAGTAGCAGACGAGTTACGAAAATGCATCCTTAAAGCCAAAAAGCTTTGCAGCGCAATGCGTGCCAGTGGAGCTCAGGCTTGCGGCTTCAGGGAGACTTGCTAACAGCTTCTTGGCCTTGCTTTTGCCCGACATTCGTGCGCAAGTCTTGCTTGAGAGTCTGCTTCTTCAAGGACTGCCAGCAAAAGTGCGAGATCTCAGAGGGCCAGATGAGAACCTGGAGCCTCTGCTGCAAGTCGGTGTAAGGCCGTAGAAGACCAGTGTGCAATCGGTTCACGTGCTCGCCTCCTCGCTTGCACTTGGACAAACAGCGAAGCACAGATCGGGCACGCTGCGAGTTGAGCTCAGTTCTGCTTTCACCCAGGCAGCGTCTGGCTGAAGGGACGGCGCCCGAGCTTCAAGAGGCGTCTGTCGAAGGCTTTGAAGGCTTTGAGGCATGTCGATGAACTGCAACCGCACTGGTAATGTTGGACCAGTTTTTTCCGCAGCGCTGAGCCCTTGCTCGGGCGCCAGGAGCTTGTTTCTGCCATGGGCCGCATTGCGGCGCTGGAGCAAAACGAAAGTGCCGAGGGCCAAGACAAAGTTTTGACCACTGAATCTAACATTCGTGTGTCTCGTGTGATGTAATTGACTTGCCTGCGGAATCTCTGCTACTTGTGTTGAACCTTGGTCTTGTCTGAGGTTCTCTCACGCAAAGTGGAGGCTGAAAGACAGGGACACAGCATTGTGAAGGAGGCCGGACCCTTTCACGGAAGCGGAACCACTGTGCACGATGATTGGTTATGGTGCGCACCTACTTATATTTTCTCGCAGCTGCTTCTTACTAAAGTTATGGCATCGAAGGTCCTCAGGCAGCTTGAGGGTCAAGCTAACATCCAATCCGTGCCACCACATGACAAGTCACTGTATCATGCCTGGTAATGAGATATACTGAGTCTGCGCCCTCCCAGCCTCGCTGGGTCCTTGGCAGGCCTTCGACAACTTGCAGAAAGACTGCTGCGAGCGAGAAGGCCTGGGCTTCGAGGGGCATTGACCGCACAGAACCTGCACAGTTACCGAAACCTCTGCTTCGGCCCAGAGAACAGGATGTTCAGGCAGTGATCATAGTGACCGAAAGCGCAAGAACCCCACGAATCGCATTCTCACTATCAGGGACAGACCTTGCAGCGATTCCACGTCGACTTTGTAACCCCCAGACCCGCAAACTGCCAGACTTTTGTGCCACTCTGTGCGGCAAATTCGGGAGAATTCAGCGCAGTGCTGGCAAGCGAATGGCACAAAGAACATTGAATCAGTGAAAATGATCAGTTTCAGCGCAGACAGAAGGTGACCATTGCAGCATGGGATGCTTGCAGTCGTGCCCCCGCCAAGTATTCTGTGACAATGCTACAAATCGTGGCGTGCGAGGCTTCCTGAAGGAGCGCCTTTCCAAGGCAGTGCCTCGGCAGAGTTTCGCGATGCCAGCTGGAAGGAAGGAGTTAAGAGGCACGTCCATATTTTAGGGCTTGGGGCGCCTTCTGCAGCTTGTTCGATTCCAGGGGCCTTCGTAATAGTCGCCTATAGTCAGAAATGCTCGATTTAATCCCGGTGGTGCACCACAGTGGCACGATGGGAAGGGCCAAAGAGACTTGGTCTCGTTCCTCATTTAGGAAACACTGCACTTCGTATGCTTGACACCTCGAGCCACCCAGGTCCTGTGGAAGAGGCGGGGTGCGAATGCCCTGCGCATCGCACGCCGGAAGATCCAGTCCATGGTGGAGCCTTGGGAAGCGATTGGGGTAGACGCAGGGCCTCGAATTGCAGAGTTTTCTGTCGTGCACGATGATATCTAGAGGGGCTTCGCGGACTGGCAGAAAGGGGTGGGAGCTCCTTCCCATGGATATCCATGGATCCACCGCGCGAAGGCCAGCTCCGACTACGAGCGCGTACAGCAGCAGCTGCAGGCTGGGCCGCCGCACACTCCGTGCATCTTTCGGTCTCATTACACATTTGTGGAATGAGCGCAATAAGTGTCTCAAAGGTGTGCCGCCAGCGCGAGTTCGACCTATCCAGGAGGCAGACAGAGCTGACCTTGAGCCTCAGCCAGTTCAGATCGTTTCACTTGCGAGTATATCTTTCCGATGTCCGATGCCTATCATCTGCAGAACCCCGCAGTGCTTGCGGCAGAGCTTGTAGTTCTAAGGAAGGTGGCCCAGCAGGAAGACAAGCTGAGGGCATCTTGGCCAGTACATGCTGGATGAAAAAGTTTCTGCAACTTTGGCAGTGCACGAAGGAGATGATGGACCTTCAAGATCGCTGTGGCTCGGCCGCTACCATGGTTTAAGTTCCTAGTCGGTTCAGAGGGCCTGTGCAGCCTCGCAAACGTCCGCCAACGTGGATTTCAGTTTAGGCCATAGAGAATGCCAGAGAATCTTGTGGCTCGGAATCTCGCATCGAGAGCCTTTCCTCCGTGGGCCATCTGTCACGGAGTGCTCTGCTCAGAGCTGGTCTCTGTGTCACATGGCCCCTTCCAGCTCTGGCCAAGTGTACGTAGCCTCAACCTTGCGGTCCAAGGTGCAAGTGGCAAGGGAGCACGGGGGGGTTGCATGAAGGTAATTTATAAAAGGAAGGATCTTGAGCCTTAGGCTATCTAGACTGAGACTTAGCACTTATCCTCACGCTTGCCGAGGCAGGAGCTTGGATCACCTTGTGCGGGAGACAGAGCAGGAGTTCTACAGCGCACCCTTGAACTTGAATCGCGAGAATTCTGCTTATGGTGTAGTCGAGTCACAGTCGCGAACACTCACAGAGGCGAACACCCCGCAAAGAGATGGTAAGCAAGGATGCAAGAGAGAGAGCAGCTGTTTTGCGGTAAAAGGAGGCACGTCTTCACTCGGAGTCGCGAGAATTTGGCCTTGCATTCAGGAGTTCACAGTACTCCGCCGCCGACTCCAGCTCCGAGAACCACGCTTTGCTGCTGAGGCGAATGTCGGCTTTTCTCGGATTCTTTCAGAATTAAAAGCAGCTTTGGCAGGTGGCGCTCTTCACGCGCCTGACGGCGGCCGCTGGGCGGCATCCTAGGGGAAATCTATACCATGACCTGCTGGAGTGCAAACATGTAAGGCGTTTCAAACTCGGCAAAGTTCCCGCCTTGCCGGATGCTTCAGGAGCTGCAGCGGACCCTTGGCTTCGTGGGCAGCTTCGAGGCTGGCGTCAATGGCTTGTGACAGCAACATCGGAGTTCTCGAGTGTCGTACCTTGCAGACAAAGCATTCCTACACTGTGTGGGCATTTGTCAGACTTGGGTAAATTTCTTCATGCCATGGGCTTTGTAGCTGTTGTGGTACTGTAGCTCCGTTCGTCGCCGTGTCTTTGCACCAGGCTGCAGCGAGAGCTCTGGGCCTTGCCGAGGCTGGGGAGCTTTCGTTTTGGGGCACGAAATTCCCTATCATGCACATGACTCACAATGGCCACATTGCATTACACAATGCAGAAATGGAAAATTTCAACGGGTTCTGGCAGTTGCACTCGGACTCTGCCTGTCAAGCTCCAGTTGATCAGCCTTGCCCGGTTTAAAACTAATCTCTGCACGTGGCTTCTTGCACCTGTGCCTCCACAAGGCACGCATCACGACATCACCGTATTCGCCGGTTTGCAAAGAACGATTGATATTCCAGATATCTCGAGGGTGTTGAGGGGTTGAATAGAAGTCAGATAAGGCAGCTTAAGAACGAAACGTCTCACATGCTTCCAGCACGTTTAGCCATTGCAATGCCCAGGCTCGCGTCGCAGGTCTGGGCTTCGAGGTGGGCGAGCCAAACAAAGAACTCGTAGCCTTGGACCTGAAGTGGCGACCCCGCAGTAACAGAAACCAGGCCTGCGGAGTAGTAGGGCTAGGGCCACAGTTCACAGGTCATGTTGCTTCACGGCTTAGAGTTTCATGATTCAGGATCTACAAATTCTCATCTTCAGGAACGGGTACCAAGCTGGACACACCAGGTGTGGTTTCCCCTTGTGTCGGGCATCTAGAACAATTAATTGGAAGATAAATCTTGGTATTCTTGCAATCTGGATCAATCTTGGTCAAAAGCAATGCAATCTTGGTCATCTTGCCCCACTAGCCCCACTTGCTCGCCGACTAGTTTACCTTTTGGACCAAGATTGCTGGCAATCTTGCTCCCCCCAAAAAATTGTTCCCCTTCAAGTGGGGCAAGAATGCAAGATTGCTTGGTAAACCTGCTCAAATAATTGTTCTAGTTTCCCGGCACACTGTGGTTTTCGTTGTGGCACGGGCTTTCTGGGTTCCGTGGTTTCCGTTGCTACCTACCCTTTCGGGCTCCGTCACCCCCTTACTCGAGGTGGGCAGTTTCTGAAGTGAGGGAGGTCAACACGCTCAGAGGCGAGTACTAAGCAACCTTCTGGGGTAGCTACCTGCGAGGGTGTCCTGCTGGGCCACAAAATTACGTAAGTTCTGGCAGCTGAGAACCCATAGTGTGACTGCTGTGCTTCTGTACACCTCCTTACTACTTACTCTTAAATCAGAGCAATCTTGGACCTTGCGCAGGCTGGTGCAGCCATCAGTGTCGAAGCTTCTTTAGATGAGAAGCTGCGTTGCTTGGAGGCACATGGCCCCGTGACAGCCAGGCTGCGCAGTTTTGCTTGAAGGATCCGCACGTCCGGCCGATCTTCAATCTAGTGAAGCAAAGGCTAGCTCCTGTGTGACAAAGCCGGGACATCTTTCACGGGCCGGTCTTTTCCGCTCGTGATTCTTCGGTGACCGAGGCAAGTTCGATGTCAACAATGATGGATTCATTACTCTCGGAGATCTCCGAAAGTTCTTTGAAAGCCACTGAGCTTGAAGAAGCCCACACATTTGCATGAGAGACGGAGTGCGTCACACATCGTTTTGCTTGAGCATTACACCGTTACACCTCCGAAGTGATGATTGGCACTCCCGTCAGACAGACTCCCACACTGAGGCCTCTCGATCAAGGTCAAGGAGCTTGGGAAGACTTCCATAATATGGAATTCCGGGGGCAGAGACTTCCGTCTCCTCTGCTCCAGTCTCTCCGTCCGCAGGAGGACGAGCTGCAGCTCTTGGCCGAAGCCTTGCACGGGGCGCAGTCTCAGGTGACGGCTCCGAGACCACCGCCCAGTGCCCCAGGCCGGTCTCGACCAAAGAGACTGACGCAGCTCTTTTGAGAACGCTCTGCATGTGCTCATGCCTGCGGCTGCTTGCGAACGGCGGCTGTGCAGAGGCTCTTTGAGCCCACCTGCACCGCCGGAGCCAACCGCCGCCGACAAGGCGTGGCGTGGAGTTGTCAATGCTTGTGACGAGCAGCTTTATCGCGAAAAGCAGTACCGGCACCGACTGTTCGTGGCCTCCTGCTTGCTACTAGGTGAACGTCTCGGTCCTTGGTGTCGTTGGTCGTTTCAGGCACGCCGACTGCACTTGCCAGCATGTGATGTGACAACGCAGCCGCACATCTCTTGTGAAAGCTGCAGGCGTTGCAGTCAGTCTGTTTCAGTCGTGTTTGCATTTCCAAGCCCCACAAGCCCCAAGCCCCAGCTCGCCCCACATCTGCCAAGGCTCTATGGGCTTCGGTCGCTGGAACCAGAGGAGCTTCGGGGGCCTAGGGGCTGAAAGACAGGATCGTGCGGGCAGTCCGCAAAACTGCCATAGACTCTAGACTCCAGACCGTGTCGCAAAAGAAGCAGGTGTGAAACATGGTCGTGCTTGGGCTCCATGTTAACGGTGTGGGTGTTTGTGTTGACATGGTGCTCTGTATCTCTGCCATCGCTAGAAATACTGAGACCTATCGCCTGGCTATGATGAGAGGCGACGTCTTGCTTTTTTGCCCAGAGAAAGGACCTTGATTAAGACGTTGTGTTCTCACAAACAAGTGTACATAACTGCCACCTTGGGAACCTACCTTAGACTTAGTCTACTTCGGAACTGTCCGAAATCGTCGTCGAGTTTCCTCCGATGTGGCCACGAGACCGCCACAAGTCGTGTAGCACTCAACCTCTTCCGTGTTGCAGGAGCTTTTCTGGGCATCCTTCCAAGCACTTCTCTTCCGGCTGCCGGACCAGCTTCTCGGTGCTCTTGGACTTTCCAGCTTCGGCTGTAAGACGTATTTATTCACTTGTAGCCATGTCTCAGTTGGTGAAGAGGTTTGTCAATTTGCTTCCTCGCGGTTGCCGTCCTGATGCACGAGTCATGTCGGGCGTGCCACTGTTACGCTGTTAGTCCTGGCACTTGGAGTTTGCTAGGCGGCCGTCCGCAGAATTGCTTGTACCTTTACACTGCTTTTGTATGTACGTTACGCAAATGCGTGCACACACGTCTGCACGTATGCATGCATGCACACATATGTGGTACATATCTCCATACCTGCCTGCCCACCTACCCACCCACTCAGCGACCTACCTGCTTAACATACATATGCGGACAGACAGACATGCACAGATGCGCTCAGTCATACAATGCATTCTCAACCCGCGCTTAGGCCAGATGCTCAGCAGGTGCTGCGCAGCAGCTTCATGCGCCTCCGCAATGCTCAGGCCATGTCCGGGAGTGGCTGAGTGGTATAGCATGTGGTAATCGGCTACGTTACAAAATTCTCCTGTGTGGAGTGGTGGTGATGGCGGCAGTTTTGGCCGATTTGGTACTTTCAGTCGTCGCTGACGTCGCAGTAGTATACTCAGTAGTATTTGCAGTCGCAGTCGTAGAAACACGTAGTAGTAGTCGTCGTCGTAGTAGTAGTCGTCGTCAATCGTAGTCGGCAGTTTCAGTGGGGTGGTGGTGGTGGTGGGTGGTAGGTGGTAGTACGGTGGCGGTGAAAAAGCTGCAGTAGCATTGGAAAGACATTCGTAAACAGATCACCAGCCTGAATACAGCTGAATGACAGTACTGGCAGCAAGAACAGCAACCAGTGTAGTCAGACTGAATGAACCCTGGCAGCAATAGAGTCCAAGCGCAATAGAGCACTAGGAATGACACTGCGCAGCAACCACTAAGTGGAATACTGTTACCACATTGGCACTTGTCTAAGGCGCTTGGTGATTGGCCTTGATCAGGCGCTGTCTGGCTCGAAGCGTTGATGGCGAGTGGTTCTTCTTTTGTTTTTGTTGAGAGTTCCGCGCTCTTCTCACAAAAGTAGTCGAGCAGTCGGAGGTTTCGGTCATTGGCCGCGTTTCAATCATGATTTCACCATCCGTCCACTGCTGTAGAGCAGCCCCGGCTCCGCCCTCGGCGGCACTGGCATCTCGGCCATCAGAAGTCTCCGAGTGTGTCTCTTGACGCGCGAAGAGCACCAAAGCATAGCAAAAAGCCGACTGAGGTACAACACGCAGAAGCTCTTCGCAAGCTGGCCGCAACACGTGGGTTGTCAGAGTGTGGGACATGCATGCCTTTGTGTCAATTGAACTTGTGTGATTAGCCGCTGATTAGCCCAGAGCCTGAGCCTCAAATCAGATGTGGACTTTTGTTCCCTTGCTGGCATGCGCGGGTCCTGAAGCTCAGGCAAAGAGCGGCGCAGCTCCACTCTTGATTTGCTCTTTCCTATGTATGTGGTTCCTTTGGACAGGGCACTCGAGATGAGTGAAGTCCGCTCGCACGAAGAGCTGCTGGCCGAGAACTCGCTAATCCAGTTCGATGAGTCCAAAGGTCGCGTAATTTTCGTCTCGCACGAGTGGTCTGGCACGCAACACGCTGACCCAGAAGGGGAGCAGCTGGCAGTTCTGCAGAATGCACTGAGGCATATGCTCAGAGACAGGGACAGGGTTCCCATTGATGTTACCACGGAGATTCTGTTTGGACAACAGCAGGGCCTGAAAACCAGCGAGATGCACGACCAGCCGCTTTTCATCTGGTTCGATTACTGGTGTGTGCCGCAGCTCCAGCTGTCGGTCGCAGGGCTACAAGTAGAGACCAGCCAGCAGAAAGCACTGGACAGCATCCCGGCCTATGTGGAGAAATCCTGCTACTTCTTCATCCTTTGTCCCCATGTCCGCCATCAGAACTCCGGTCAGCTGCTTAGCAAAAGGACCCCGGGGGCCTAGCACGTTGAATCGAGCTCTGCAAGATCCCCCGTGCATCTGCGCCAGTTTGGCTAGTGCGTTTCAGCGACTCTTACGGGGGTGTAGGCATTCATGAAGATATGCAATGCGTTACATTCGACCCTCAGTTCTCGGCCACTTTTCGGCACGAAGTCTGGGCGAGCTCCCAGGGACTGGTTCCTAAATTGACGGCTAGGTACCTTTCGCGCAGGGAGAAGTAAAGGTATCCTCTTCGGCGCCCGCGGGCCTGCCAGCATTGACTGCCCTGACATCTGCCCCCCCACGAAGATTCATCCTGTGCTGTTGCGTCTCTCGTCATCCTTCCACTATCCACTATCTCCCCCTTGTAATAATTATCAAGAAGCGTTATGTAGTGGCCGTTTGCACCTTGGATTATGGCTTCAACCATGCAACTCGGGAGGGCCTGAGCTTGGTTCAGCACCTGCCGGGTTTCCTATTTCCCTACGGTACGCATGTACAGCTTCCCCTCAGAGGTCATGAATGACTACTGTAACCGTAACGGAACAGATTGCCATGTTGGAGAAACAACGACCTGAAACAGGACGTGGGCCACGCGTGCATGGTGCAGAGTCTTAGATAGCCAGTGGGAGAACTTTCATATGTTTTTTGACCTCGTCTATTTGGTGTACCTTACTGCGTTCGACTTTGTTGGGCCCGGTTATTGAAGAAGAAAGGACTCGAACGCCTTGCGAGCCAGTTGAGTGTAGCGGAGAATCGGCAGGTGATCGAAATTCAAAGCGCCAAGTGCCAGACCCTGACTTTGCCATATGAATACATTCGAGAACCTGTTGGTGAAGGAGAGTTCACCGTGGAGTCAGATCGTGCAAAAGCTGCCGCGATTGTCAGAAGGATATTCCAGAACAAGTTGGTGTATTACTTGCGGCGTGGCAATCTCCACAACTACCGCGTTTTCCTGAATCTGCAGCGGGTTCACTTCAGAAATCTTCCCGTTGAGCCGATGGACGACATCATTCCGGGTTTCAAGAGTGATAGCATGGATCCTGCCATATTTTTTTGCGAGAGTTTCATGTACCAAAATGGTTTTCAACATGTGTCAGACCGTGACGAAGCTGGATGGACACCCATCTGCTACGCGGCACTGGGTGGAAATGCGATGCTCATTTCATCGCTTCTGGAGAAGAAGGCAGACCCGAGAGATTCAATCACCAGGAGTGACCCGAAGCTTTTCATGACATCAGGGGCCACTCTGCTGACAATGTGCGTGTTCTTGCGGCATCATGAAGCCTTGAGGCTCCTCCTGGAACGCAAGGCAGATGCCAACGCCACAGATGGCTTCACCTCAACACCGATGCACTACGCTTGTGTAAACCACAATGTTGAAGCTATTCAGATTTTGCGTGATGCGGGTGCTAACGTGGACGTGGTCAACAAGCTGCATCATTCTCCTCGCATGCTTGCTGGAGGTGCAGGTACTGGCAGTGGTTCTGAAGATGTCATTGATTTTCTTCTTTCCGATGCACCTCAGTCGGAGATCAACTTTGCGCTGCACTACTGCATTCTGTTTGCAGGTGTTTCTGAGGATGTGGTCAGCGCGCTCATCCGCAAGGGAGCAGACATCAACCAACAGCTGGTCCTGCCGCGTTTTAGTCCGCTTGGCATGGCCTTCACCTATTTCAGCTGGCGACATCGCTGGAGCCCTACAGCTGCAGCTCGTCTCAAGCATGTCACCCTATCTTCAAACTTGATGCAGGCACTGCAAACTCCCCTGTTTTCATCGACAAACTCTCTGTGTGTGTGTGTGCCAAGGTGAGCTACTACGCGCTGCATCATTCCAAAGCCAGCCCTTTGATGTGTTGCATCATATGTGGCTGCTTTGATGCAGCAGCAGCCCTCATCGCTGCTGGTGCTCGCCTCGACTTGAAAAATATCCGTGGCAAGACGGCTGCGGATTTGGCTCGCGAGAACGGTGCTCCGGATTTCCTTCTTGAAGCTTTGCAAGCAGGCCCGCAACAGCGCCTAGACCTGGTTGAAGGGACTCTGTCCGTCCAAGTGTAGGTATGCATTTGGCGTGCCTGTTCTTCCAACAGTTTCCCGGTTTTTGAATGGTCGTCTGCAGCTCAAAGCTCTGGGCGGCCCGAATGTTGTCCAGCTTGCACTTGCAGGTACATTCCAGAAGGTGCTTGCACTTTGTTTGAACATAGCATCTGGCAGGGCAGACGACTGGCCTGCCACACGAATTCAAGATAGATTGAGTGATCTTGCGCCGGTAGAAACGGGTCCCTCGCCCTTAACCTTAACCTACCTCGTCTTGGCGGATAAAGCTACGGCATGGCCATTCTGCACTTTGTCGGGTTATTCTGTCCTTGAAGCAGATCTTTGCTTCAACCCTGGAATGAACGACTCTGCCTAAGGGGGACATAGCAGCTGCCGACGTATTGTCGGTTCTGGCATCCTACGAGGTCCGCAGATTTGTGAGTGTCACGTGGCATCCACCATTGCAGTTCGATGTGCTTCAGTCAAGCGTTTCGGCTTCTGCACTTCGTGGGCAAGCCCGTTCAGCCCAAGTCGTCCTTGTCGTTCTTGCAAGGTCCCAGCGAACCAACTGCCTCTTCGCAGTCTGCGGAGAGTGCTGCAGTGGCTTGGAGTCGAGGTGCCTTGTCTCATCTAGACTAGGCAGCCTACGCAATCCGTCCGATCAGAGCTGCTGCAACTGTTCTTTCTCTTTCATTAGCACTGGGGAGCTTGTCCGAAGAGATCCACTGCCCTTTCCGGTGCAGCAGCATCGGCTGCGACGACAACATCTGCTCGCTTTTCGGATCCCAATGATGATGCATTCTAAACTGTGTGCATTGCAACGAGCTTGTAAAGAAAAGCAGTATTGCATACTGGTCTCGTTCTGAAGCCACAGCACCGCCAGGTCGACACGCGAGCCTTTCGTAAGGGATGCTTTTCTTTAAGAGAAAATGGCTTTCAGACGCATGAGTTCTTCCGTGTCGTCTCGGCCGAGCCTAGGCCCGGAGCCTCGAGGAAGTGCTGCCGGCAGCACAGCTGCCGAACCCTGGGGATGCGCAGGCGCAGACAGGGCTTGGGCATTTAGTCTTGAACCCTTCACCGTCCTGTGAGAGTCCTCGAATCATTGGCATTGTCCGTTGTATACTCCATCAGCACAAGATGCCGAAGCTTGATGCCAGGAGCCAGAGTTCCGGCTGCGCCTGCAGAAACTCCGCATCGTCTACCAGGCACGCACGTTTGTCATTCGCAGCTCCCCCCAGTAGCCAGGTTTACGCACGGGCATGGATCAGAGTTTCAATTGCGAGACAGTCCGGGGGCGGCCGTGTGCTGAGGATTTTGCGCAGCGGATGGAGAAAGGACTCGGCCGAGCACAGCTGCAACTGCGGCCTCCCGAGGCGGAGCGCAAGCTGGTAGACCCGAGGATGAACTGGATCAACAAAAGCGCCACAGCCACAACACGGTTGCCGAGAAAATGCACCTGCTTGCAAATCCTGAAGCCATAGGTTCGGTCTCTGCATCGCTTCCCTGTCAGGCCCTCGTGGTGCCAGCACCACCCTCCCCACCGGCAGATCTCGAGGCTTCCTTCGAATGATTCCGAGCATGTAGATCCTAGGAGACTAGCAGGACTCTTTGGCGTTGTAGTGTCATAGAGTGCTTTAGTTGTGTTAATATTAGCGGGTCTTAATTGAACCTGATATATGTTTGCCAGCGGGCTTACACGTCAACCGCTGCTGGTCCCTTCTGCTGGTGTCAGTGGCAACTGGCGATTAGTGAAACAGGATATAGGGATGAGGGTGGACGGTGGCAGGGGGTGGGCATGGTGGTGGCAATGGTGAGAATGCTCGCAAGGAGCGGCTATCGTTTTCATCATGTTCGCACGGGTCTCCAAACTCTCCAAAGGCCCGCTGCCATGCGGCGCAGGCGCGAGAGTCGGCCGCAAACAGGCCTGGGCACGGAATCGGACCACCATTTCTTGGGGCACTTGGGTCTATGCACCAGGATCTCTTGCAGTGAAGTAGAGTGCTGAGGGAGGTGCTGTTCAACAAGTTGCATTGGCAGGCGGTGTGTGGTGCTGGAGCAGGCCAGCCATCAAATGGATGCTCTTTAGACTGCATGTTTTTTTAGTTTGCATGCACAGTTCGAGAACGCATGCATGGATTGGGCAGGTGCTCATTGCTCATCGCAAGTAATGACAATGAAAGTGTAGTGAGAAAATGTTTGCCAGGAGGTTCGCACAAAGGATCGCATTGCGAAGGAGTTGCAGCGTCAGGCCAGGGCAACGGGTAGCTCCACAGACTGCTGTTCCCTCTACAACAATCGGAACAAGACTACTTCCGGCAAGCTGGGGCAGCGGCACTTGCGGTGCTATGACTATAAGAGGTGGGGGAGCTGGATAACTTGGTGGAGCGCCTGGAGTCCGAGCTCTACGAGGAGCGTGGAAGCAAGGTGAATCTGATGGCGGCATGGCAGCAGCGAGGGAACCTAGTAGAACACCGGTAGGGGCCGGGCAGCGTAGCAACCAACCAAAAGCCAACAGACAGACATGTTTCCGCAGACAGTGCCCGCAGCTTGGGGCCCCCGGTACAGAGCGAGCAGATGCAGGGAATGATGGCCTGCAATGTTTAGAACGCTGTGATCTTCAATTCTCACAACGCTCCCGTGCGGTTCTCTGCGCTGAGGCACAGCTCAATGCCTCGCTGCCCAAGGCGGAGGTGGAGCCCAAGCTGCGACAGCTCGAGGAGCACCGGAGCGCTCAACCGGGCCAACCGTTTTAATCCCGCGTCATGGCGAAACCTGGTCGGCATGTTGTCTTGTCCACTCACCCCTCGCCGCAGGAGCTAAAGTTTCAGGTGGACCAGTGGAGTCCTCAGAGGAGGATGTTGGCAGTGTTTTCGGTTGGCCTATGCACTGAATGACTGGTGGTTCGAGCTGCAGTTCCATCGGAATCAGTGGAGTGTTCAATTGTCATGGTGTCACAAGGTCCAGCCTGGCATTGAAGCAGTCCAAGGCCACGTGTCCGCAGCACTGCGAGAGGCAGCCCGTAGTAAGATGTCCTGTCCTGTGAGGATCTGGCCCGGGTCTGCGCCGCCCAGGCGAGACTAATTGGGAGAGAAGACCCAGGGCTCAGTTGGGCTGAGAACTTCGCGCAGAGCGGCTTTTTTTTTCCGGTTTCTCCAGGCAGAGAGCTACGAGCAGCTGGTGAAGCGACGACAGCAGGAGGTGAGGAACCTGCAGGCCGAGGGCCTGTCCAATCCCTCTCTGTAATCCAAGCGCGGGAAGTCCATAATGTCAGGAGTCGGTGAAGATGCTGCAAGCCGGGGATGAGGCCATGGGCCATCAGACTTTCGCTGCCCTCGCTTCCGACCACGGCAGAGCCAATGAAGCTTGTTCTGGCTCGCAAGCAGAGACCACTCTCGATGTCTGGTGAGGTCGCCAACACTGTTGGCAAGCTGCAGTACAGGCTGTTGCTTTGCCAGTGGGAGAAGGGCAATGTTCAGCGACAGCTGCAAACAGCCACTTGTCAGCCATGTCTTTCATGATGTCCACGGATTGTGTCCCAACTACAAGACTGAAGATTGTCCTTCACCCGAGCAGTTGAAGCCACCAAGAGGCACAACCCCCCAAAGTGTTTCAGCGCTGGCTGTTGCAGTAAAACTCGAACTCATCTTTGTCGAACTCTGTGCTATCGGGCCGGTGTGGGGGAGCATCATGTAATTAATTAAGTTGTTTTGGGTGGTGTCGGACTGTCCACTGTCCTTGTCATTGATCATTGTCATTCGTATTACGACTCAAAATTTACTATGCCCAGTACAGACGAGCCAAGCCCATTTTTCACCCAGGCCACGCAGGACTTGCGACAAGCACGGCGTGAGCTACTGGAGAACGAGGAGCAGGCCTTCAGATCCAAAAATGGAGTGTGATAGTTTGAAGAAACAGTCAAGGGTCTGACGTAGGACTACTTACCACTACCTTCTGCCGCTGCTTGTCCTGCTAGGTCTACCTATTAGTGCAAGTACAGTGTGCCGGGAATTTGGAACAATTATTTTGCGAAACCGTCTTGGCAATCTTGGTCAGGCGGGGGGGAGCAAGATTGCCAAGCAATCTTGGTCATCTTGCCCCTGCCCCACTTGCTCGCCGACTAGTTTACCTTTTGGAGACCAAGATTGCAAGATTGCTTGGCAATCTTGGTTGCAATGTTGGTCTAAAAAGGTCAACTAGTCAGCATGACCAAGATTGCAAGATTGCGTGGCAATCTTGCTCAAATAATTGTTCCAAATTAATTCCCGGCACACTGTACTACTGTTGATGATATAAATCCTGCATTACCTTGCCGGCCCTAAACTGTGGGATTGTTCCTTATTATGGGTAGTGCAGGATTTATATCATCAACCGTAGTACTGCCAGTTCCAATGCTGCCAATGCTGCTACCACTACTTCGTCTTTTTCTACTATTGCTACTGCTGCTGCTGCTGCTGCCGCTCCTACTACTACTACTACTACTACTACTACTACTACTGCTCCTGCTGCTGCTGCTGCTGCTACCACTACTACGACCACCCAATCATCCTGGTGAGCTAGTGCATGCTGAGGTCGAACAGGAGCGGCAGGAGCACGACCATACTGAGGAGCATAGCGCCGCATAGTGCCGCAGCTGTCTCTGGGGCATCTCAGCATCTTCGCTTCGTGATGCGAGGAGCACCTGCGGCATCGGCTGACCGAGGCATCTGCACAGGCGTCAACGATCCTTGTGTAGCCGGTGCTTCGAGCAGCTTCAGATCAGCATTCTTTTTTTGAAAGAAAGGTTTTTTTCAAATCACCCCTCCAACTCACCTACATGCTTTCCGGCAACACTCCTACTCCTACTGTACATGTTGTAATGCTCGGCATGTCCCGTCTTCACGTTCCAGGCATACGGAGACACGAGAAGGTACAGCAATGGATCGATACGTAGCCTTCCGGAGGGGTCCCACCAGATCTCGAAAGGCTGCGCAGCTCGCGGAGCAGAGCGCAGCTGCGATGCCGGTGGACAAGGCTTGGCTTAGACGCACAGGTCGGTAGTCGCCACGTATCAGCCAAGGAAATACCAGTCGCTGCGAGTTAGCCAGTGTTTCGCCTCACGGAGTTAGCATCAGTGTTGCCAGCAGCAGTATTGACCAACACGAGAACAACTCTTGGTGCCATGCTAAGCAAGTCTATGACTACGTTCGCGCTGCATAAAATGCTTATCATCATGAGTATTTAGACGTTTACTTGTTGTCATTGTTGCTGCTTGTCCGTCGCCGTCCTCGTCATGCTACCTCTGCCACTATCACTACTGTACCACTACTGTACCTCTACTGTACCACTACTGCACTACTGCCACTGCCCCTCTCACCGCCGCCACGACTACCACTACTACCACCACCACCGTTGCTCCTGCTGCTGCTGCTGCTGCTGCTGCTGCTACAAATCAAAACTGTTGTTGTTCTGAGTACGAACATCATTGCGCTCGATTGCGCTGCTTGCAAAGATAGTTGTTGAAGACACGAAACAGCTCGGAGGCAAGGCAGCTGACCTCGCGTCTTGAGGAGATCTCCAGCCGCAAGATGGAGCTCGAGGAGATTGTTTCAGAGTAGCCTACCGACCGAAGGGTACCGCAGTCAACAGCATAGTCATAGTAAGTAGTAGCTGCAGGAGCAGTAGCGGGACTACATGGGACTACGTGCACATGTACGAATAGAGTCAACATGAGCCGCTCACATAGACTGCAGGATGAAAGATGACGCTCTGATAGCAGCAGTACAAAGAGTGTCTTGCTGGCTACAGAAACATCTCAGAGCCTTCTCTCGCCAGGAGCGCCTGTCGAAAGTCCGCTTGGAGCTGCTCCGAAATCAGGCCCAGATGCCTTCCTTGGAGACTCCTTGGAGACACAGGGCGACCACTATTCCGTCCTTGAAGGCCGAGACGGACTCCTGCCGGCTGCGAGCGCAACAAGCTCAGGAGCTGCTCATGGAGCTGAAGGCGCCCGGTGCGAGCGATAAGCGTAGTAAGCGTAGCTTGGATGAGAAGGAGGAGCAGCAAGAGAAGGAGCAGTACTGGTAGCAGTAGTAATAGTCGTCGTTGTAGTAGTAGTGGTAGTAGTAGTAGTAGTAGTAGCAGCAGCAGCAGTTGTTGCAGGAGTTCTGGTGGTCTCTCGATTTGCTTGGCAACTGCAGTGTACGAACATATCACGATAAAATAACTAACCTCCCGGATCGAACCGGAGTCTCCGGCACAGGCGCTAGACCCAGATTCAGAGGCGCCGAGGCAGCGTCTCCTGGAGATGGCCAAGTGCCTGGGAGCAGAGAGGATTTAGCGTTGTAGAGTAGTGGTGCGAGGGCTCGGGGCGTGTGGTTGAAATGAACGGAAATGCAAGAGAGTTTAGACCTGATCCGGGCGAACATCGGTCGATCGGCTCATGATCAATCAGACTTAGAGTGGTTTTCTTTGAGAGTTTCCGTTGTGCTTTGTGGCAGCGATCTAATGAGCGAGGCATCCACGTTGACATGTGGAAGCATTGAGCGCCGTTACCAACTGCCTTTTCTGGCAGGAGTTGCATTTCTATTTGAGGTTCTTGCCAGGTGGTGCAGCACTCCACGTGTGAAACAAAAGTCTGCTACAGATTACAACAGCCCACCTAGGACCTGAGGGTTTTTCCCCGCTGAGCAGCCTTGAGTTCACGGTGGGACGTGTAGTTCTCTACGCTCTCTCGGTAGCATGTTGCAACCAAGGAAGCTGGCAGATTCCAAGCTGCAGGACTTGCCATCCGAAAGTTATTGAGTGGCAGCCAGTGAAGAAGAGGGATGCAGCAGAGGCCACCTCCAGTGGGAAGACTCGGAGTAGTGGACATGGTCTATGTTGTCCATTCGCTTCGTTTCATACTGAAACTAGTGCTGTATCTACACTGAATCTACACCTACATCTGTTCCCACTGACATGTCGATTGCGTGCGTGTCGACAGTCACATCTTTTCTGTGCTTCTTGTCTTGCAGCGGTTCACTCTGTCAGTACTGCAAAGAAAACATAGCCATGTGTCATGCCCTGTCGTGAGACTCCGCAGGAGTTGCAACACAAGCGGAGCCTGGAAATCGTGAAGGCACGCCGTCACAGGGTTTGGTCGGTCGTAAGGGTTCCACAGGTCGAGTGCCATGTACGGCGTTGGTTCTCGTGGGCTGGAGCACGATGGGGCTGGGGGCGTCGTCGCCTCATAAGACATGCGGCAGAGCGTTTTGCAGGAATGGAAACATGCGGAACTTAGCAAATGACTTTGATTGTTTTACCAGTTTGTTTGCAGCTCAAGCGTAGTTACTGACCTGCTGACTGGTATTGTAAGCAACCTCGACCGTCCATGTCCGTAGATAGCCGTGTCGTGCAGAGAGACATCTGCCATCAGTCAAAATCTCAAGCGACGTCAGGAACAGCACCAGCAGCTGGAGAAAGCACGACAGGCCGGGGCAGACGGTATGTGGGACGCGTGTTGTTTTTGTGAAAAATCAAGTTTTCCTCTTCCTCTCCTCAGGCGGACGAGAAGGAGATTCAAAATCTTCAGCGTGAGGTTGCCAATGCAGAGTCCAAGCTTGCTGACCAGGAGCCCTGTAGTAGGCGGCATCTCCGGAAGTCTTCACGAACTGTCGAAGCCCATCCTGCCCGAAACCTTAAGTCGAATCAGGAGCAGCAGTGGCGTGCGAAGGTTCTCGAGGCCCGGGCCGGGGAAGGAAGGCTCGGGCTCAGTGTCAGCGCTTGTGGGGCCTGGAAGGCACAGGGTGCCGCCCCAGCGAGTGCTGTCCGCCGCGCAGGGCAGGCACGGCCTTGGCACTGCCGGATGTAGAGTGTATGCGCGCTTGCAAAGAGTCCGTGGGGGAGCGTGATGTCTCGCCAGATCAGCATCGAAGCTCTGGAGGAGATCCAAGGCAAAGTTTCCGAAAGGGACGCCAGGCCAGTATGGTGCAGACAACGGGTGGCCTCTACGTCCAACTTGCACTGCAACAGCTTTCGCTTCACGCACGCGATAGCGGCCAGGATCGCAGTCCTGGAGTCCGACCTCCAGAAGTCCATGTCTGACCGCGAGAGCGCCGTGGCCGAGGAGCGCGCCAAGGCCCGGCCCGAAGTGGCCCCGCGACCGCCTCGACGGCCTCGCGACGGACCTCCGCAGGTTCGGAAGCTCGAGCTGGAGCTGGGCTTGGTGGCTGAGGGCGACATGGCCAAACTCCGCCAGGCCAGGCCTGTTGCTGCAGAGCTTCAAGCTTCGAAGGCCTTCAGCCCTCGTCTTGACCACAGCCTCCGCATCGCAGGCCTTGCGCGCGGAGCACGATGCAGAGGTTGCGCAGATCTCACAGGCGGCACAGGAGCTCACGCAATTCGTACCCTGCTTTCCCAGACACGTGCTGTCATTGCATGCTCAAGACATCATTTGACTAATGGTTGAATTTTCCTTGATCTGATGATCTTGGATAGATTAAATTCCTCCAGCAGGCTTGGGCCTGCGCCCTCACCGAGTCTTCGGAATCTGATTGTAGGCATGTAGGACCCCCGGTCACTTTCGTTGCGTTGCCGAGCTAGCCACAGGGCAGAGGCAGGACCAGGGAACGCAAGGTGTACAGTTGAGTACAACAGGAGTCCGTGCAAACACTTCAGCAGCTCCTGGACCAGACAGAGGCTGGTCTTCTGGGTTCGGAGTCCATTCTGGGCTTAGGAGTGTCTGTACGAAACCCATACAAGGGTCGATCAGCTTTCGTGATCATGGAGGATAATGCCAATGTTGCTTGTCCCTGAAGGAACACCTGCAGAGGCAGCAGCAAGACACAGCGCGCAGGGCTTGGCATCGTCCCGCGACAATCCGGATTTAATCCTGGAGTGCACCACCCAGGCGCTTGCATCAGAATCTATCTGAGCAGCGAGCGAAACATGCAGAGGACTACCGTCGCATGCAGTGAGAAGTCTAGAACGGTTTCTTGCTGCATTTCGCCTGACCCGCCCGTGTGTGAGGAGACTATGCAGTTGCAGCAAGCCCGGCCAGATTGACATGCACGCCTTGAAATGGACTGCTGAGCCGAGCTCTACAGAAGACTTTCCGATTCTCGGGTTTCAAGACGGACGACTTTTAATAGGATCAACCAAGAATTTGGGATTGAGAACCGGAAGGCAGGAGATCGCCGGACTGCGACAAGAGATTTTCCAGGCCCTTACCTCGGTGATGGGGCAGACTTGGGCTGTCGCAAGGTCAATTCACGTAAACTTGAACAGTGCGTTTGCTTTTCGGATCCCTGGTGCGAGATCCGGCATCATCAGCAATCCGATGTCGGGGCATCGGCTGGAGCCCTGTGGATGTCACTGAAGTCAAGGCGTAAGCGGTGGAGCTCACCGCCCACTGCAGCCGGTGTTCAAGTTGCGTCTCAGGCCCGGCTTTCACCTCTGCCGCCGCCCCCGCCGGACGAGAGCCTCTTGCTTGCAGATTTGGAGTTGAGTGCTGCATGCTGCTCACTTCACTCACTGGGCTACTTGCGATCAAAACCACATGCCGGTTCTGGCAGAATCAGAAGCAGCTCTCTTGGCAAGTGCTGATTGACAGCTGGCCAAACACGCCGGCCCGAATGTTGCCCTTGCCTTGAAGGTGCCCGGCTGGGGGATTCAATTGGCTCTGAAGCCTTTGGTGGAATGGAAGGTGCAATTGCCTGGCTCGGCATTCGGACTGATCGGATGGTTTGCCATATTTGCTGTGGACGTTGGGCAAGGGCGAACGAACCTAAGATGACTCTAGAATCATCCTAGATCCGATACCACTCGTCGAGTACGCGACAGGTTTGGGCAATCGGCTGGATGAGCAGAGAGAGCAGGCATGTCTTCTTACTCGTAGTTTTGGCTGAAAATCTCGAGCTGACTTCCTCTCGTGCCTCGGCTTGCGGTTTTGGAGTGTGCAGAGCCTTCAAGCCGTTGAAGGTCGTTTCGCTGCACCACCGGCTTGAGCAACAGCATGAAGAGTTCCAAAGCCTCCTCGATCAGCAGCACCCTGACTGAATCTGCCGGAGCTCAGTTTTTCTTCGTGCCTTTTCATGGCCGCTCATGAAGGGGCGGGTCGAGGTGAGCGGTTGTAAGGGGCCCATGGCCCCAGTGGGGCCTTGAGTGGCTTCGAGCTGGCACTTTTACGCATCCCTCCCAAGGCATCAAGAAGCTCGACGGCGAGAAGAGCAGCTGCGAGGTGCCAGCGGGTAAAAGGGGCGCGATCACATGCGGGCGTCTGCAGCTTCGCAGAGCTTCGCAGGCCGTGAAGAGCGCCTCCACCAGGCAGGGCCAAGCCATGCCTTTTGCCGTTCTTTGCTCCCTTTTACCGCTCAGGAATACCAGGCGCGAGAGCAGCGACTCCTGGACCTCCAAGAGGCGCGCAGAGATGTTGGGCACGCAGAGTGGCAGAGCATGTGCTGTCGCACAGAACCTTCGTGACGCTACGACCGTGCAGGCACAGCGTCAACAACGGGACCAGGAGTTGCTGCGCATCAAGGAGGAGCGAGTGCGCTGACGGACGAATCCATTTGGCCCGGTGTCAAAGTGGCGGCACGGTGGAACAGCAAAGATGTTGCCTGATGACATGCTGGAAGACTCTGTCGCCTCAAAACTTCAGGAAGTCTTATATGTCTCGACAGGTAGTAAGCCCAGTGCCGTACAATACACATTGCACTCAGTGTCAGTTTTTGTTTGATGGGCCGGTCCAACAAAGCGCAACTCGAGGAGCTGGCGTCGCTGCATTCGGCCAACGGTGCAAATGCCGAGGTGCCTTGCCCTGCTTCGATTGCCCCTAGCTCTGCCCAAAACAAGCTTGGGTTGTGCACGTTTTAAGCTGAGTGGCAGTGGCGCAGGCATGTTTCGGTCTGTTGGAGTCCGGAGGAGTGCGAGACACGACGGATTTGAGTGGAAGCCAACACATGCCAGGAATTCGGAAAGCCGTTTAGTGGCCTTCGGTACTGTCGAAGCCAGGCGCAGCAACAGCGGGAGGAGCAGGCCAGAAACTCAGCGCAAAGCTACGCAAAGAAAGTAATCAGAAAGAACGCTACCTATCTGTAAGTGTGTGTACATATTCATATATAGATATTATATATATATATATATTTACACATAACACATACGTATATTCATACATATACGTACATACTTACTTCCATGATTACATACTGTACATACGTATACACATACATCAGTACATACATAACAGATAAATACAAGTAAACAAATTACAAATTATTGTAAATACATATATACGTATATGTTTCTATATATTTTGTTTTATTTATATATGTATGTGCATGGTTGCTCCCCGGCCGGCTCCGCCCTCCCCTCATGTCATTTCAAGTACAAGTCTTGTGTGTCTATGTAGATCTTGGCTAGTCCGGTACATACACACAAACAAACAAGCAAGCATGCAAACAAGCAAACAAGCAAACAAACACACACACTTGAACACCCAGACTT